ACTCATTTACCTTATACAGCGTGTTTCGAATTATTTCAATGTTCATTTCATCCAGGTCCTGTTCAGATATGCAGTCTTGGAAGAAAGCAGCTGAAACAGAGCCACAGACAGAGTTAGCATTGCCCTAACCAGACCCATGCCCAGCACTTTTCAGAGTCCTCAATAATACCAGGCAGAAGCACACCCTATGTTGAACTCGTCCCTCCTAGGCCTGGACCTTATCTTCAGCAGCCACCAAATTGCTGTGACTCAAAACCTCAGGCTCCACCACGGTTCCTCAGGCCACAGTCATTTTTGGGGCTCTCACACCAGTCTATTCTCAGCAGAAATTCTCAGCTAAAGCCCCCAGCATCAGTGCCAGAGCACCCTGTATTTAAAAATAAGCAAAACCCAAACTGTTCCCAGATGCAGGCACTCAGAGGTGACAAGACAACTTCCGAATTGCCTGCTACAGCATGGCAGCAGTGCTTAAGCATCTGTGAGACAGCAGCAGCTATGAGTCCCGAGGATGCTGGCCATGTGCCTCTCCTTCATCCTCCAGTATCTTAGCTGGATTAAGGAGGTGTGGGGATGCCACAGCTCCTACAGTCCATTACACTCCATGGTTGGAGTCAGGAACGGTTTCCCCTGATCAGGTCTATCAGTCCCATTTTCCACTTCTTCCAAGGCCTTTTATTTCTCCAGCTGAAGGTAAGCAACAAGAGACAGAACGAACTAGTGTATTTCGGTAGGAAGCTCAACCTTACATATTTTGCCAGAGTATCTCTGGGAGGGAGTCTGAGAAGTTGCTGCTGCTGAAAGAACACAGATTTCAGACCTAACACAGGGTACTGCAAGCCGCAGATTAAGATGAGTCTTGTACATCCAGCACAACACAAGGCTGTTGTACCACTCACTTGTTAGCAAGAGCACAATAAAATCATTGACAGGACTTTTATGACTTCTTCAACTCTCACTCAGCAACCAATTTTGCTGAATTTGCTGCAAAGAGAAATATGATCTTTCTTAGCTTACGCAGTCCAGCTGTGGGTAAAGGACACTGCACTCATGCTGAGAACTGACTGGTGCTCTGCTTTGTGCAACAAACCAGGTACAATGCAGGCTCACACCTTCAGCGTGTACTACTTTTATGGCACGAGCTCCCCAGCATGGACAGCAACCGCACCGGGGGTCTAGAGAGGCCTGAATAGGGGTTAACCCCCCACCAAGGATTCTTTGCAACAGCATCAGAGACCAGTGCCACGTAGCTGGAGGATCACTGCTTCCTACGGCTGGCAAAAATGAAAACAGAGTGTGCCAGGACTGGTTTTCACTGCAGGACTTGCTGGCTAGCCTAGATAGCTAAGCAGTGGCTACTTCAGAGTAACAGAGGAATGAGAACACAGCTATTTCAGTTCTTGGCCCTCCAATATCCCAAATTAGGCTAACAGCAAGTCTTATTTTGCCCTGCTAACCTATGAGAGCCATTTGGGGTTAGGCATTCCTACCAAGCCACGTAGCTACTCAAGTACTTTCAGGAGATAGAGCTGCTGTTTCTTTGCGTGTGGTCACTGGAACGATTGGAATTTTTTTGTACACAGCCTCTAGGGCATGGCCAGGGCAAAGATCTGAAGATCTCAGCCTAACCAGGGCAGAAGGTGGCAAAGCGCACTCACGCAACAGTGCACAAATGCAACAGGCGAAGACCCTCAAACTGCCAGCCACTTTCTCCAGAACCACCTTGCCAGTGTAATGGGGCATTGTAACTCCATACACAGCTGGAAGTTTTAAGGTTTCTGAGAACTAACACCTCTGAAATACTTGCTTTTATCTTATTACCAAAGTGGGAAGGCTCCTGCTTACTCATGAGGAGGATTTTCTTCCCACACATCATCCCTAAAGCAGGCTCAACTCAGCTGCATGCAGAGCCTCAGTTCTCCTGCTGCGTTGTTGCCCTACCTTGCAACCCAGATCTCGAGACATGTTTTCCCCCCTTAACTGGGCTCTATCTGGCAAACCATTTTTCCATGACAACTACTTCACTTGCCCCGTTATTACACAGAGCATTTGTAAAAGCACTTTCAGTTCCCAAAACAACTATTTCTATCAAACACAGTATGATGATTTGAAATGTTTTGTTCTTTCTAGCAACCGCAAAAGAATGATTAATCACTGACTCAGGCGTACCTCATCACTCTTTTGCCCACAGATGCTAACCTAGAAGGTCTCCTGTGACTACCTCTCCTGCTACTACAGAAAAACTTCATATTTTCTTCAGAACCACTTCCTACACCTTTTATCTTTAAAGAACATATCTGTCTGTTCATAAGACACTTGGTTTTAGTGTCACGTGCCTCCTGGTCAAAGCTTATAGCCCTAAGTATACAGTCCTCAGCGCAGGATCCTGCTATACAATGAGCTTAAAAAGGCTTTTGGAGCATTTTCTTTTGTTTGTTTGTTTTTTCTGTTGCTGGTTAGGGTTTTTTGGTACGTAAAGAGCTTTCCTTGATGTAGAGCTAATTTTATCAGTCTCAGAACAAAACTAGGCACATGCAGATCTCTATAATTATCTAAAAAAATTGCCTACAAGAAATTGTCCAATGGTCCAACTAAAAGTGCTGGAAATTAAGTGACTCATTCCAACAGAGGACCTGACAGCCCTTCACTGAGGTAGCACATGTACCATGTGTCCCATGACGATTATTAAAAAGATCCCCTTTGTCTAAGACCTCTCAAACTTTCTCCTTCCTCCCTAATTTCAGGTGTTGATTCCCAGAAGAGCTGGTAAATGGGCATATCTAGCAGATCAGACCTAGCTACACCTGCACTGCCATGACAGCTCAAGGCCTGGCTCACACAAACCAAATTCCCCAGCAATTTGCACTACCAGTGTGCTGGTTTGGACATTTATTGAAGCGTGCAGAGAGCTAGCTGGTCCTCCAGAGGAAATACTGGCATAGGACAGGCATAAACCTGAACTCAAGCCCAGCCACCGCAGGCAGTACAGACACATCTGTGCACTACCCACCACTTTGTCTTCCTGGAGCACAACTTAGACTTAGTCGGACCTAGTTAGACTGGGGGGGAAAGGGACATCTGCTCCACACACAGCTGAGAGGTATTTTAAGAGGCTCTGCTCACCCAGGGGAGTGTCTACCAGGATCGCATTGTAGAGCTCTGCAGGCGTCTGAGCAATGTTCACGGCTTCCATCTGCTCAAAACTTCCCAGAGGATGACATTTGGGCACCAGTTCAGAGATTGAACGCTGGTGCAGGGTCCCAGTGATCAGCAGAATGACATTGTCAATCATGTAGCTGTACCTGGAGGAACACAAGAGGAAGCCTGTCACAACACAAACACTGCAAAAAACAGCACCTGGCACCAGATAGGCACACAGCTTCAGACCCTGTGAATGTCTCTAGAAAGATGCACCCTCCCCACGAAGAATGAGTAAGGCACCTCCTTAGCATCTCCTTATCGCACCAGCCTAGGAAAAGGGAATCAAGCACACTCTTAGGCTGTGATTTATGCTATGCTGAACCACACTATCTGGGCATCTTCTACTTACCATTAAAGAGCATTAGATTGGAAGGGACTTCTGGAGGTCTCTGGCCCAATGTCCTCTTCCAAGGATGGCCAGCTCCAGCTGCTCAGGGATTTGTCCAGCTGAACTTTGAATTATTTGCAAGGATGTATACCTCAACCTCCACAGGCTCTGCTTCAGTGTCTGACCACACTCACAACAAAGTCTTTTCCTAACAGCTACTCGGAATTTCCCTCATGGCCATTTGTCTACTGTCTCTCATCCTAACTCCCACATAACTGCCAGAAGAGCCTGGCTCCAGTTTCCCCACAACATTGCCATGCTCTGTAGAAAGCATGTGTAAAAGCATGCATGGTAGGACACCATCAAAGGGGAATCTGCAGATTGCCTAACTCAAGCTCAGCTTCATAGCCAGCAGCACCGCTCCATCTTGCCAAGACTACGGAGAAAGGGTCACTTTTCTGCAGCCCTCCTTTCCAAAAATGACAGGGTTGGCACAACCTTCATTCACACCCTCACGGAACTACACACAAGCTTTTTCACACCTCTGCCATCAAAAGCTAAACACTCTTTTGCATTAGCCCATATTACGACATCCCTAACCAAGTTCTCCACTTATGTTATACGGAATTAGGGGATTCAGTCTTTGGCACTGCAGTAATGGGACATTCAATCTGGAACCACAGCACTCTAGCACAAGTTCCACCAACACAAGCCCTTCGTGGCCCTCCTCCCCAGTATGTCTATGTTTCTCTTGCACTGAGGAGCCCAGAACTGGGCACAGCACTACAGGTAAGGCGTCCACCAGTACTGAGTAGAGGGGAAAGATCACCTCCCTGCTTTCCCAGTGCAGCAAGAGAAGGGAGAGACAGCTGGCTTGAAGACTAGGAATATAAGAAAGGCTGGTGGCCTTCTCCAAGGAGAAGGTCCAAGCAATGGATCAAGGCATCATGTATATACAAGGAGCTGAGAGGAAAAGTGTCCCCAGAAGAACAGGAGTGGTGCTCTAGGCACCTTTACCACCAGCTGAGCAATAAGCCAACCGAGCCGAGAACCTGGAAAACATCAAGCAAGGTGAGCTGAGTTTGTGTTTGGTTGGTTTTTTTTCCAGTCAGAGGAAGACACCTTTGCAAATGTCTTTCAGCAGCATGGGGAAGGGGCACAGATAATGGAAGAGCAGGATATTTGGGATTTTATACTCCCTTGCTCTCGCTGCTAGAACTCTAACTCTTTAGAGTTAAATGATGGAAAAGACCTGAAGAAGCTCCTTGGCAGGAGCTGCTCCAAAACAAACAGGATCAGGCCTGAACTAGAACAGCAGAAGGAGCTATGCATATCTGCAGTTGGAGCTCTGTTGAGGTTCAGGCTTCCCCCATGTACTTGGGTACTGAAGAAAGGGGGCTTAAGGCCAGCACACCGGGACTGGGGCAAGGGCAGAGACAGCAAGGCTCTGCACATGTCTGTCAGGCATTAGGATGCTACTGGTCTTTTTATTTCCAAGCTATCAAGGAGGACACAATGTAGCCCTGTTTCCCTTTGAACCACATCAAAGGGAGGCAAGAGAGACAGTTAAAGGCAGATTTCGGTAGTTTTTATTAGATGGGCTTACTGCCTCTCAGATACGCTCAAAGGGCACATCCATGAACAAATCCACACCTTAGTTCCTCAAACAAGTGCTGCTTTTTTCTCCACACTGCGGGGTTGGGTAATGCATCTCCTGGCCCCACTATTTTTGCAAAGAGACTTTCTGTGTTTGCAGCCTACCTTTCCAGGGATGTTAAATCTAGAACCAGGGCAATCAGCACAAGCTTCACGTACTCTGAAACCTCCTATTACCCTTTCATCTGCAGGGTTATTATCCTCCTTTTTGTGCAACTCTCACCATGGAGATGATTGCAGTCTCTAGGACAGCAAGGTTATGAGAACTGAGGGTAATTCCCTTGCAGTATAAGCAGCTGGTTCCTGGTAAATACAGGTATCTGCATCCTCACACAGATGCAACTCCATGAGGTGTGCCAGACTGAGGATACTGCAGATCATTTCCCAGCTCCACCATCTGCCCTCAAACACATGCAAGCTTGCTTTGTGCAGCACGGTAGCTTTCAGGAAAGACCATAAGCAGGAGCAGTCTCACCAAAGCAAGACAACAGTGTAGGACCAAACCAAACTGATTTCTTCAACTCAGCCTGCAACGAAGGAAGAAGCCAGGATACATGGTCATTGCACAATACACTAGCACACCTCTTGCCTATTCCCAGTTTACCATGGATCTTGCTCTCTCGAAGGTATTTGCAACTTGCAAGGAGCCTGGCTGAAGTCAACCATACATAAGGAACTGAGGAAAAGAGCCTGGAGCCCTTTCTGTTTGCAGGCCTTCAGAGCAGCTTAGCTCCTGGCTTACCAGAGTCACACCAAACTCATCCATGCCCTCCCAGTCCAGCTCACCATGAAAGCCACAACCAGGTTTGGGGAGAGCAGCCCAAGTCTGACCCCTTCATGCGTGAGAAGCTCCTGCTTTCAAGACTGATGGTCCCAGGAAAGACGACTCAGCTGGTTTCCACTGCTGGAGTGCAAGGCATAGCTTTTCCCATTTAATTTATGCCCCTTAACTTGCTTGTTTCCTCATCCTTCAGGGAAGTCTGGGGAAATGCACAGTTTATAGACGAAATGCCAAGGCCTCTAAGAAGGCCCAGCAACAACTTTGTGAAAGAGTACTCTACCTGTTGAGACGACTTAAACCTTGCTGTCAGAGAAGGATTCATCCCTGCAGGAAGGAGTTACCATGCACAAGACAGGGAGGAAATTTCTTACGCAAATTTCCACTGCGACAGCATTTCAAACCTTTATGAGAACAAGAACGCTGCAGCAGGACAAAGGTCTTCTCATGCTTGCTGAGGCCAGGCAGACACCAGCACCACTACATAATCCTTCCAGATAGTTCCCATTTCCTTCAAGCAAGCCCAGACCATGTTTATTCACATTCAGTCCCTGCTTTATCCTATTAAAAACAGCCACAGCTCAGTCAATCACGACAACGAGGCAAGTCTTCTAGTGCCAGGGCAGCTGGAAAAGCCTCTTCTCATCTGTGGAAGGGGCAAGGCTTGCTTTCCTGTGCCAGGTCCCAACAAGAACACATCTGCCTCCATTAGCACAGCTGAACTAAGACCATAGCGGAGGTCCTGGCTACACTGGCATTTCCTCCCAGGCCCAAAGGATTAAATTTATTATGGTGGCAGCAGTTTTCCTAGGAACCTCCAACTACTTGTTTAATAGAGTGGCTTTTGTCATCATCCTCCCCGTCCCCTGTTGGGTTCTGACCAGCTTTAAATACTTCAGCTTTCACAGTTAATATATGCTTGAACCCCTCCAAGAGCATTTTAACCTTGACTAGCTCTCAGTGCAGCTAGTAAGAGGACCAGAATATGGGACACATCGGAAAACAGGAGTAGTTGGTCATTTGCAACACCGCGAAGTCTTACCACAGCCTGCCTGACATGGAAAAGAGGTTAGGACATAGGATGGAGACGGGTAGAAGGACCAACAAGCTCCTTGGTGAGGATGAGCCTCTGCACTAGCTCACTGGGAACACTCAGTAGGAGCTCAGAGGAGAAAGCACTACATGGAGGCTGTAACATAAGCTACAGCCCGTGACATGGGGTGGCAGGGCTTTAATTAAGTTGGTACAATGGCACATTATCTCAAGCCCCTAACCTTGCCTCCACAAAGACTGTAGCAAAACTCTCTTGGCCAAGAACGTGCTTTACGCTCCTGCTTTGAGCTGCTATCTGCCCACACAGGGAGATGGACACAAAAAGAGTGGATGTTCAGAGTTTCACATACACGGTTACACCCTGCCTTGCTCTTCCTGTCACCCACTGAATTGAGGCGTGGTATATTCCAGCAATTCACATTCACAGAAATAAGATTTTAGTTGATACTGACAAGCATCAATAATGTCTCACAGAAGAGCAGAATTTCTTCTTAAAGGACAGGAAAGAGCCAGCAAGCATAGAAATATCATCCACAGCAGGGGAGAGAGATGTTGGCTTATGGCTTCCTGAAGTCCAAGACAACTGGGGCCAGTATCTTCACTCCTCCAGCAACACCCAGTTCAATGTGCACTGGTCAACACTCACATAAAGAGGACAAAGCCAGCCTAGGAAATGCCTAGAGAAGCCAAAAGGTGTGTGTGGGGTGAAATAATAGAATAGAATCATAGAATGGTTTGAGTTGGAAGGGACCTTTAGAGGTCATCTAGTCCAAGCCCACTGCAGAGAGCAGGGACACCTTTAACCAGATCAGGTTGCTCACAGCCCCATCCAATCTGGCCTTGAATGTTTCCAGGGATGGGGCTTCCCCTACCTTTCTAGGCAACCCGCTCCAGTGTTTCACCACCCTCATTGTAAAGAATTTCTTCCTTATATCCAGTCTAAACCTACCCTGGTTTAGTTTAAAACCATCACCCCTTGTCCTGTCACAGCTGACCCTACTAAAAAGATTTTCCCCATCTTTCCTATAGGACCCCTTTAAGTACCGAAAGGCCGCAAGAAGGTGTCCCCACAGCCTTCTCTTCATCAGGCTGAACAACCCCAACTCTCTCAGCCTGTCCTCATAAAAGAGGTGCTCCAGCCCTCGGATCATTTTAGTAGCCCTCCTCTGGCCCTGCTCCAACAGTTCCATGTCCTTCTTGTGCCGAGGGCTCCAGAAGTAGATGCACTGCTGCAGGTGTGGTCTCAAGAGAGCAGAGTAGAGGGGCAGAATCACCTCCCTCAACCT